GAAACATGTAATTCCTCTCAGGTATATTTCATCTCTCTTTTCTCCCTTCCATCTCCTGCCCTTTTAGAAAATGGAGACAACCGAAACTCTCCTCTCTACACTTTCTAAAGTATGTTATAACTACTATGCCATATTTCTAGACCACTAGACTTCCCTCTCATATACTTTGAAATTGTGCTGCTGCTAGTTCACAATACTAATCTCAATGAGTCAGAGAAAAGCAAGCCTGGAAAAGCATCACTGCTGTTTCCAGCTTCAACTGAATTGCTACAAATGCAATTACAAATCTCTAGCCATGTTATTGTATTCAATACCCATGGTAGGTTTCTGTACATCAGGAAGAAGCAGAGGGACTGTAGCCCAGATGTAAAGAGCTAAAGGTAATAAGAAGTCTCATACCTCATCTCTTTTTCTGCCTACTCTACACTCTTCCTTTTGTCCAGCTTTCATTCTACAAGTGCCACTTAATGCCTAGTGTGTACTAGAAAATGCTTATTTTGGTATCTGTACCTTAAGACAACAAAAATATGCCCATCTCCTAGTTAAGGGACTTGCTGTTTTTCTGAAGGAAAGATTTTATATTGCAAAAGTAAGATTTTCCATTGTGTTGGGTTCGAGTGACCAGGATTTGGTAGCAGAGGGGCTACAGTAGTGGCTTCTTTGAGAAGCTGCCAGAAGTTTCCCCATGTCTGACAGAGCCAATGCCAGCCAGCTCCAGGATGGACCCATCGCTGACCAAGGTTGAGCCAAATAATGATGGTAGTAAAGCCTCTTGGAAAACAGATTTAAGAAGGAAAAAAAGCTATTGCACAGAAGTAATTATGGCCAGAGAAGAGTAGAATGAGCATATGTGAGGAACAACTCTGCATACACCAAGGTCAGTGGAGAAGGAGGGGGAGGAGGTGCTCCAGCTCTGGGGCTGAAGTTCGCCTTTAGCCTATGGTGAAGCAGGCTGAGCCCCTGGAGCCCATGGAGGTCCACGGGGGAGCAGACATTCACATGCATCCCATGAAGGAGCACCGCTCTGGAGCAGGCAAATGCCTATAAAATGTGTGTAACCCTGTGGGAAGCCTGCGCTGGAGCAGAACTTGAAGAACCCTGGAGAGAGGAACCCACACTACAGCAGGTTTCCTGCTAGGACTTGTGACCCTCTGGGGGACCCATGCTGGAGCAGTGTGTGTGAAGAGCTGCACTCAGTGGAAGAGATTTCATTGGAGTAGTTAAAGAACTCCAGCCTGTGGGAAGGACTCTTGTTGGGGAAGTTTGTGGAGGCCTGTCTCCTGTGGGAGGGACCCCATGCTGGAGCAGAGGAAGGACTCCTCTCCTTAAGGAGGAAGCAGCATCAGAAGCAACCTGTGATGAACTGACCATAACTCCTATTGCCCCACATGGAAGGAAGATGTAGAGAACTGGGAATAAAGTTCAAACCAGAAAAGAGGGAGAAATGGGGTGAAGGTATTTTAAAGATTTGTTTGAGATTTCTTTTACTTCTCATTGTCCTGGTCTGATTTTGATTGGTAATAAATTCAATTAGTTTTCCTTAGCTGAGTCTGTTTTGCCTGTGACAGTAATTGGTGAGTGATCTCTTCCTGCCCTTATATCAACTCATGGGCCTTTTGTTATATTTTCTCTCTGCTGTCCAGTTGTGGAGGGAAGTGATAGAGTGGCTTTGGTGGCCAGCCAGGGTCAAGCCACCTCACCCACTAAATGTATGCACTAATACCAACCAGGTGTGCAAATGCGGGTGCACACGCACACAAACCACACATTGCCATAACTGGCGAATCAAAACAGGCAGATGTATTTTCTCAGTCCCCTTCTATAATCATGAGGACCACTGAAGCAAGGAAGGGGACAATAGAACACAAAAAATATTCAGGAACTGTCATCTAGCACCTTGAGAGCCTTCACGTGCTTACATAAGCAATTAAAACGTGTGACAGCATTGCAGATATGATCCCTTCAACTTATAAAAATAAATCAAAAGACGGATGAGTATTTGACCTCAAATACTTCAAAGATAAATTAAAAAGACAAATTCAGAATATTTAAAAAAAACCCACTAAAAATGCTACTAGAAAGGGGTCTGCATGACCTCAAGATTTTGAAAGATACCTGTAATTCACTTTAGTCCAAAAAGTTGTCTTTCGGGGGGGGGTAGGTTTTTCTGGTTTTTTTTTTTTTTTTTTTTGTGAAAGCATAATGAGTCCTTGTGATTTTGTTTTACAATACTGTCATTAAAATTCATGAAAATGCAGACAACAGGTGCCAAATGTCACCCATATTTTTTCACAATCTCTTTACTTCAATGTGATGCAAAGTCAAAACCATAGCATATATGATCCACTTAATAGCGGTCCTGCATAACAAAGCTGACAACTTATCAGTGGATCATGAGTCTCAGAGCGGAAACACAATGCTCTATGAGTTTTCTGACTACAGAAAAAAGCTTTTCAGAAATGCCAAAGTATGTTTTAGCATTTACCCACTTATATCCCTCTTTTTATTCTGGAACAAGGGTTTTCTGATTTTTTAAAATATATTTCTTCCTCTTACTCAGCTTCAGTTAAATTTCATTGCTGCAGACAAATTGTCAGGTCATTCAAGCAGTGAAAGAACCATGCTGGATTCAAGATCTAGCTATTTGCTCAGGGAGCCTGTCATCACTGATATGAACCTGAAAAGATAAGGCGCCCATATCAGATTGAAACAATCTACGGAATCAGATTTAAATATAAGTGTACAAAATAAATTGATTAACTCTGACTAAATAAAGATTTTATATTACTCTGATTATTTATCTATTTTGATAGGCAATTAAGTAGAGAAACCCCAATAAAGTGAAATAAGGACAAGATGGTTACCTAATAAATAAGAACTTTTTTTTTTTGTCATACAGTGGAAATAAAATCAACTTGCTTTTCACACAAAATTAGGTTTTCTAAAATGAGAACTACACTCAGTATTTCAATTCTTGTCAAAAACGTGGCTTTCAGAAATGTTTGCATTATATTCATTTCATCAGGAAGCTCTATTTTAAAAAACAGACCAACCAAACAAAAAAAATCTTTGTAAAAAAGGTAACGAAAATGATTGTCCCAATTTTAACCTAGATCTGATTTGGTGAAGTACCTGAATATTGCCTTAAAAATCAGTGCCTGGAAAGTAATGTATCTTCAAAATAAAATTAATACTGAATTCCACTGAGGATAGGAAGAAATTCTTTGTTCTCGTGGTATACTTCACTTTTCAGCATAAATGAAAGTAAACCAAAACTGAGTCTCAGCTGGAATATCTTCAAATACTACATTTCTTAGTTCAGATGACCAAATGTTTTAGTTTTACCATATTCTCTGACATATCTTGGGTAGGTCAGAGCACTATTTATAAGATAATAGAACATAAAAGAGATTCAGAAACATCTTAATGTAAAGAAAACATATTCTCACCTTCATAATCAGGTTTTGTAAATTTAGATTTGTAGAGATTTCTTTGAAGAGGAGTCTGTTGAGCCACATTAAGAGATATCTATGAGTGAGACAGCCATGAATGTTCACATTTTCTCTCATTTCCAATAAATGAACATCTAGTTACCACAAATCATTGCTTTATATTGTAGACAAGCTCTCTTCACCACAGGATCTCAGAGTTTGTGAAATGTGTTACTTCTCACCTGGACATATTGTAGTATCATCTTTCTCCTTCAGCTGATGTTGACCTAATAAGAGTAATCCATGATCCCAAAGCAAATTTGAGTGGAAAAAGCTTTCCTTGCCTGGAACTATTTTCTCTGTTGGTCCACAAAACATACTTATGGCAAACTGTGATTAATAAGCACAAAAACTGACAAATAATTAGCATTTAGAGTTTGAGTTTTATAAAATTGATTCCTCTGAAGTATAAATGTTCTATTTAACTTATTAATTTTCTATCCCTCTAGAGATTTTGGAAACTATGTAGGTGTCTCAGCCATTGCTGCAGAACTGTGGCACCCACCTTCACAGACATTAACTGACAGTCTCATCTTCAACTTCATTAGCAAAACTTTATTGTGGTAGCTCTGCAGGCCTCATAATTCAACAAAGGAAACTGTAAGATAACAGTTACATTCCATATTGATTTTGATGAGAATTGGATCAGACCTTGACTGTCTGGTAGTTAAAGTCTCATTCTCATTACGTACTTTGTACCTGGAGCTCAGTTAGTTTCCTTCCTTTATTGACTTACAGAGGCTCTCACAGACTGTTTAAACGTGAGTCAGCAAATATGTCACAATAAGGTACTTTTCACAATGGTTTTTTTGGCAGACATAAATCATAACGTTTAATGTTCCATACCCTTTTTATTTTAATTTTAAGTTTAAAATCTTATGCTTCCGAGGTAATACATCACAATTATATTAAGAACTGATTCAAAGTCTACTGTGGTCAATAAGATGCTTTCCATTTATTTCATTAGTGTCTGAAATGGGTTTGTAATCCCAGGTTCTGTGTAATCTTCTTTTTTTTGTGAACAGGCTTTTGAGGTCTCACTTACAAGAACTTTTAAACATGAATATGAGGTAAATGCATTAAAAAGGAGATTGAGATGCATTGATACAAACTGGACATGAAATTACATCTAAAGATAAGTATTGTGGAAAGCATATTCATGAATGCTGGGAAAAAAAATCTGTATTTATTTGAAAATGCACTAAGGTAATTTTTCCCAGAAGGCTTTTTTTCTTTTTTAAAGCATAGTAAATCTTAGCTATAACCTATTTTTGAAAGGACTTTAAACACTTAAAAGTCTTGAATAGCATAATTATCAGAGTTGAAAGTGTGTTTAATCCCTTTTTTTTATGAATGAAGTGGACTTGATGGATTTCCTTTGATTAAGCTCTCCAAACGGCTCAGACAATATAAATATTTGTGAACCTTTCCTCTATTATTTTCTTCAGCAGGTAAATTGGGTCACTAAATGTTTCCAGAGCTATTACACAGAGGAAAAAATTTTGCAGCCAGTTTATTATCTCTTTATATTAGATTATATTCCCTTCTCCACCAAGATGAACTGACCTCAAGGATCCTTCTCATTAATGGAAACATCACAAAGATAATGAGAAATGTTATTTTGATGACATAACCTGGAAGAAAAAAAAATCCAAATGTAGATCTGAAAGTAAAAAAGGAAGACTAAAAATTACTAGGTAATTGAAAAAATAAGTTTCAAAATGATTTTTTATATTTTTGAACAATGCTTGTGTGTGTCCGTGAAAATGAGCATGGGCATCATTTTTTTCAGCATTCAACCTATTTGGCCAGGTGGAATTTGATGCCAGGAGGTCTACAGGTAGTGTTATAGAAATATTTTGTACCAGCTGTGTACTCAATAAGTAGCCAACACAAAACTTTACTTTTGGATTTGTCATATACTGTGAAAGATCTTTGACTACAGCCAAAGTTATTTCCCTGATTCTTTATTCTTTTTTTTTTTTTACTTTTTTAAATGTGAAGAATTTGATTTTTAGACATACACTGGTTTTGTAATCCAGTGCTTGACTTGGGGTTAGAGTGTATACCTATGATTCAAGTGCATTCAGTAGGTACTAAAGCTGAGAATTAAATTATAAATGCATATATTTGAATAGAAACTATCTATAATAAAGAGCATCAACTTCTTTATTTAGATTAAAACTATTTTAATGATAAAATACAACAGGCAAGGTATATATCTCAAGCATTTTAGGACCACTTAAAAAATCAATTAGTGTGTACCATCACGGGACTAGCAATTATGTGAAAATGAGTAAGCAAAAAACAATTTTAAAGAAAATCTTAGATGGTAATACAGAAGAAGGAATAATTTCTAGCGGATTATATGTTAGATAATGAAATTTCTTTTTCTTTTTGTATAACGTGTGAGCAAATCACAGTTTTCCCTACTAAATTGTTAATTCAAATGTATTCAACAAACGTCTTTTTAATTTTTTTCTCTTTACAGATTGTACATCTACAAGATGCACCTGTTGATTGTGATTGACCCAATAAATCCAAGTAAATTGCTTTTTTTTTCACTGACCAAATATCCCCACAAGGCATTTTCTCCGAGACAGTAAAATTCAAAAACACCAGGAAAAGAGAATGAAGGAAGGATGGCACCTATATGCTCTTTATTCAGCCACAAAAGATAACCTGTAACTTGATAAACTATTTAATTCTTATTATATTTTTCTCCATTATACCACAGAGAAAAATGTTTTAAAGACAATTAAAATCAATGTATGATTGTTCATAATTAAATACTACTTTCTTCTTGAAAAAAATTGTCTTAGACGCACATTAGTCAATCAACAACAACAACATATAAATGGATTAGTAACCCTTACAATCAAAGACGCCTACTATAATGAAGATAAATACATTACAAATACCTATTTTATTAGATTCTTCTCATATGTTACTGAATTCACAGTAACTCACTGCTTTTATCTTGACAGAAGCTGTGGCTTGATTTATTTGACTTGTTAAACACTGACATTTCATGTGCAATTTATATCTGCTAAACATGCTTGAAAAGCACAGGCCCATGTCCTGGATATGCACAGAGCAATCATTTTGTACAGCAGAAAAAATGCTGTAAGGGACAAATGAAGAAATCACAGGTAAACATTATGAATTTAACCTTTAATAACTTTTCTTTTTTGTATTTTTTTTTTCATCAAGATCAATATAGTTATATAAAAGTCTGGAAAAACATGCAGAATGGCATTCATATCAAACACAAGGTAATGTTCTGGTTTTTTTAATAAAATGTGAAGGCATATCTTCAACCTACTTCATTTTCTGTGTTTTTGCCACTAGAAAAAGCATTTAATATTAAGTTTCCTCAAGCAATTATTGCAAGAGAAACTGTGTTTTTCATTATAAAGAATTTACTGTCTGTCCATCTCTGTGAGTCCTAGACTGGCAGGTCAGTTTTTCTTCTTAGTTAGCACACTATGTTATAAATAGCACATCTGACAGACATTTAGCAGAACTACATCCAGCCCACCTCACCTTCCCAGGTGCCTCTGTATGACAAGTATGAGTCTCTGGATGGGGAAAGCTCAGCAATGGATGATGTGGATAACTGTCCATCTATACCAGAGGTGTTGCAGGATTAGCTCGACATCACAACCACCCCTTTCTGAGGAGAACAGAGGGTCCAATATTTCTGACAGACCCACCTCTTAGGGAAGTCTGATGACTTCCTGGGGCCCAGGTTAAGGACATTACTGGGAAACTTCCCAGCCTGGTACAGTCTTATGACTTTTATGCATTACATTATTCCATGTGAGTGGCGATGAAGGTGCAATGTTCAAGGGCCATCAAAAGAGACTTTGAGGGCTTGGAATGGCTGGTAAGGAAATCTGGAGAACCAGTTATTTTTGACTCTGTCCTTTTAGTTGCAGACAGAGATATTGGAAGAAATAGATGAGCATGGGCTATTAATGTCACTGCCACAGATGTGGGTTTTTTGATAATGGGATGGCCTACACAGCACCAAGCCTGCTGATGTCAGATGGGATTTACCTTCCTCAAAGCAGGAAGAAGGTCTTTGCTCACAAGCTAGTGGGGCTCATTAACAGAGCTTTAAACTAAACCTGAAGGGACTGGCAGATAGTATCAGACTTGCTTGTGACAAGCTGTGGAATCCGAAGCCAAGGTTAGAGGGACGTGGTGCTAGCAAGGGCTCTCAACCTATTGCTCTGAGATATGCTGGGTACACTGCAGCACTTGAAGTCTTACAGAGATGAGCCAGGGGCTCCTGAGGTAATAGGAGACAACTAGTGAAATACCACAAAGAAATTAAGGTGTGCTTCCCTAAGAAAGTGATGCATCCATCAGCCTAGCTGAAGTGCCCCTACATCAATGCACATAGCAAACAGGAGGAGTTGGAAGGCACTGTTCTGCTAGAAAGCTGCCATTATTGAAACTTGGCCTTACTATTTTTGAAACTTGGTAGGATGAATCCCATGAATGGAGTGTGGTTGTTGATGGTTGCAGGCTGTTCAGAAGGGACGGGAGAAGGAGGAGAGGTGAAGGGTGGCCCTCTACATCAACAAATGGACAGTGTGAAGAGCTGTCTCTGAAGAACAGCCATGAGCAAGTCGAAAGCCTGTAGATAAGAATTAGACATCAAGGCAACAAAGGGAACCTAATGTTTGG